GAAAGAAAGAAAGAAAGAAAGAAAGAAAGAAAGCTATTGTGATCTCAGGCTGAATTAAGAGAATCAAAGTATGGAACAGGGGAGGGGATGGTTTCACTGGCCTTAGCCCTAGACTATGGCATTGCCTTTTAAGAGGGAAATTGACAAAGCAGAGTGAATGCAGTGAAAAGACAGAGTCTAAAATGACCAGTCTGATGCAAAAACTCAAGAAGTCTTGTCCACGAGGAATGGTTGAAGGAAGTGATATCCCAAAGTTGACTTAGAGGGGGTCATGATGGCTGTCTTTGAAAAAAGCAAGAGACTTTCACATGAAAGAAGAAAGATCGTTTTTCTTCTTGTTTTGAGAGAGGAGAATTGAGTTTAAGAAAGGCAGAGTTAGAAGGGAGGTGAAGGGTCATGGAGGCCAAACCACATCTGAACAGAATCTGCTCTAATAACAAAAATAATACTAATAATAGTAATAGTAATAGTTGGGATTTACTTACAGCTTTAAGGTTTATGGAGCTCTTCACAAACATTATCTCATTTGATCCTCACAACAACCCTGGGAGGTAGATGCTATTATTATCCCCATTTTATAGATGGGAAAACTGAGGCACAGAGGTAGAGTGACTTGCTCAGGGTCACACATGCAGTTAGGGTGTGAGGCAAGATTTGAACTCAGGTCTTTTTGACTCCAGGTCCAGTGTTCTGTCCTTCGGGTCACCTAGCTGCCTTTAGCCAATTGTCTGCAAGCGAGCACCCAGCCTCTACCTGAACACTGCTAGTGATGGGGAGCCTACTACCTCCTGACTCAGATCATACCACTTTGGGGTAGCTCTGACTGGTAGCAACTTTTTCCTAACGTCAAACTAAAATGTTCTTTTCTGCAGCTTCTTCCCATTGACCCAATTCCTTTCCTTTGGGGGCAAATAGTAAAAAGGCAGCTAGGGGGCACTATAGTGCCTAGAGCACTGAGCCTGGAGTCAGGAAGACCTTAGTTCAAATCCAGCCTCAGGCACTTACTAGCTGTGTGACCCTGGACAAGTCACTTAGCCCTGTTTGCCTCCATTTCCTCATTTGTAAAATGAGCTGGAGAAGGAAATGGCAAACCACTCCAGTACCTCTGCCAAGAAAACCCCGAATGAGATCATGAACAGTCAGACATGACTGAAACAACTGAACAAGGAAAAGTCTGATTCCTTTTCTTCATGATAGCCCTTCAGTGGATATTATTGGATAGAAGTTATTGGAAGGCAAGTTTTCAGCCAGTATGGAGAACTAAAAGTAAAACCTGTCCAAAAACTAAAGGGACACTCATGAGATTGTGAGTTCCGTGTCACTGGTGGTATCCTGACAAAGGCCGAATGCTCATTTGCCAGGCATCTTATAGAAAGGAATCCCACCTGGGGTAGGAGATTGGCCTCCATGGCCGTATGTGGCCTCCAGGCCATGAGTTCCCCACCCCTGTTTAGATAATGAAAGACAAGAGACAAGGTTGAGTTGATGATGAGCAGAGACATCCTTTGCAGAGCTCTAGGCAAGAGCTTGTCAGTCCTGGCCTTGGCTCTGGCATCAATCTGCTGTGAGATATTAGGGGAGTGGCTTTTCCTCAACTTTTACATCTGTCAAATGGGGATGATTATATTGGCTGGCTTCCAGGTGTGCAGTATGATTTAACTAATTAATGGTTTAACAAGGTGTTTGGTCATCATGACTCTACTGAGGTACTGAATCTCATCCCCATTGAAGTATTTCTTCACAGTCTTCAAACCTGATGATGTCAAATTTCAGAAGTGTAAAAAAGATCTAAAATACTCTTTCCCCATTCTATGACAGGAACCTTATTTTAAAATCCAATTCAACCAAGCAAACAGTTCTATTTAATGCCTATTTTTAAAAGCCCCAAATAAATGCCACCTCCTCCATGAAGCCTTCTCTGATTTCCCCCAGGTGAGAGCAACCTTTGCTCTAGGATTTTACATTATATTTTATTCTGTACCACTTTATTCATCAATCAATCAACATTTATTAAGTTCCTACTTTGTGCTAGGCAATTGAAATACAAAGACAAAAATATATTATTCCTGACCCTAAGAAGCTACATTCTATCCAGAGGGACATTGTATGTTGTCCATAATGCACTCAGAATTTTGTTTCTTGTAGTTGTCCATGTTTGCATTTTGTTCCCGCCCCCCCCCCCAACTAGACTGTAAGCTCTATGACAACAGGGATCTTGTCTTCCCAAACTTTGTCTCTCTCATTTCTGAACACAATAGACACTTCAAGATGCTTACTGAATTGATGTACAAGTTTCTATATCATGCACTAAAGGATCAGAAAGAAGGAAGGGAGGGAGGAAGGAAGAAAAAGAAAGAAGGAAGGAAAGAAAGAAAGAAAAGAAAGAGAGAGGAAGGAAGGAAGGACAGAAGGAAGGAAAGAAGCAAGGAAAAGAAATAGAGAAAGGAAAGAAGGATGGAAGGAAGGAAAGGAAGAAGGGAGAGAAGAAGGAAGTAAAAGAAAGAGAGGAAGAAAAGAAGGACAGAAGGTAGGAAAGGAGGAAAGAAGGAGGGAAGGAAGGAGGGAAGGGAAGGAAGAGAAAGAAACTAGGATTCTTAAGTCCAGACCTTTATTGGGAAGCCTGCTAAATAAATAATCACTTGGCAGGGACCGCTTAGTGGGGCAATGTTCCCCAGGGCTTTGGATGAGGCAAGAAAATGTCTTTGAGATCTGCACTACCCCATCCTCCCAGTGCCAGATGATTCCTGATGTGCCCTCCTAGGAGCACATGTTATGATTAGGGATGAGCCAATAAGGCAACATCTGTATATGACCATCTGGCATTGGCACCTGTTTGAGCCTTTTGCTTCCAGGAGTACAAATAGTTTCTGCTCTTCCTTATTCACATCCTGCTCCTGGGGGATAACTGGGCCTTCCACCTTAGACAGGGATAAGGTCTCAATGTCCCACTCAATGTCCCCCTTGTTCCCATGCTCTGAAGAGGTACGTGTACCAAGCCAGAAAAGTTTTCTTACTGCTTGCCAAGCTCAATATCCCTTGTCCTGAAAGATCTGAGATGCCTGAAGCACTGCCACGCCTAAGGAAATAAGGAACGAGAAGGAGAGTTTCCAGAGTAATGCTGCCCTATGACGCCCTTGTTCTTTTCTGCCTCATTATTTTGGAGGCTTTTCCACACTAACCTGCTCCAGTTTACGTCTCTTCACCTCCATTCCCCTAGCCAGTGGCGTCCCTTCCCTTCTTTCTTAATTTTAAGAAATCCGTTTTATTCATGTCTTTTGGTTTTACAAGGCAACGATTTCTGGAAATAACCCTTTGCTCCTCCACATCCCTACATCCCTACTCCACAATGGTAACCATCCTTTGTAACAAAGAAAATTGCTCACAGACCTGTGATACAGTGACCACAATTGACTTGTGCAACATTCTGCCTTGTTTTCTCTGTCAAGAGGAAGGGGATAGATTTTGTTATCTCTCCTCTGGGATACTCTTCTTTTACATCCCTTTCCCAAGAGTCATTGCTTCAGTGAAGTTCTCCCCTAGGCTTACACACCTAAAGGGCAGCCTCCTGAAACAAACTTCAGAATGTGACTAAATAAATCCTTCAAAACAATAGACTTCCACTAGGGGAAGAAGAAAGGAAGAAAATGGAAAGCCAAGTGCTAATGAGCTCTCAGAAGCCCCAGCTTTTCAGATTCACCATCACTTGTGTCTTATCTAGTTGGCCAATGTACTGGGTACGGACTATGTGTTTCCAGAATTCTGTTATAGCCCTGGCATTGTTAGACACTCAACAAATGGTAATTAATACTCATGCCCCCTGAAGCTGGCTGCTAAAGCTAGGCTCCCAATGCCCATTATGGTGTGGTAGGGAAAAAATACTAGCTAGCATTATTTTATTATTCCTATATATATCTATCCCCATTTGACAGATTAGGAAACTGAGGCAAGTAAAAGTTAAGTGACTTGCCCAGAGTCACACAGTGTTTGAGGTTAGATTTGAACTCAGGTCTCCTTGACTCCAGGCCCACCCAGACACCTCTGAAACACCAAACAGATCTTTTCATTCCTACCTTGAGCATCCTGGATTTTTGTGGCAGGGCTTTGGAAATCAGGAAGGGCCATAGGAGTGGGAAGTGGTTCCTTTAAATTATGACAATCCCTCTGGGCAGCAGCCAGCCCTGGTTCTCTCATACTATACAGACATGTCATCCAATGACTACCCTGGTCATCTGCACTCATAGAGCCCTACAGCCAGAGGTTCACAGTCCAAGGGACCTTCGGGATAGATTCTAGAATACTTTAGTCCTTTCCTACCTATTCAAATAAAAATAACAGCCTACATGTGCATACCACTATGGTTTGCAATACACTTTAGAGACATCTTTAAGCTTCACAAGAACCCTGTGAGGCAGATTCTACAGATAATATCATCACCCCCATTCCACAGATAAGAAACCGAGGTTCTGAAAGAAATCTAAATCCAGGGGTCACACAGCTAACAAGTAACTGAGGCATGATTTGGACTCATGTCTTCTTGACCCCATATCTAGTACCTATTCATGTATACATTGCAGGCAATCCATGAACTTGGATGGGGGGAAAAAACTATATTTTATGTTCACTAACCTCGAACTGAAATTGGACAGTTCCTTCAACTACTTAGAGAACATTCACACGAGAAGGTGAATTTATGGTAAATCAGAGTCCACAACACAAATCACGTTCACACCCATTCTCCTTCCTTATTCCTTATAACAACCCTATGTGCTAGGCAGTGCTGTTATGGATAACAAAACTCTTCTCACAACGGCACTGTGAGGTTGGTATTAAAATGGGGGAGGCAGTATGATGCCCATTTGACAGATCAGGAAAGTGAGGCCCAAATAAGTAGAAGGACTATGGCCAAATACAGACAGCCAGTCTTCATAGTTTGTCACCGAGCCTAACCCAGGTCCCCTGATACCTTGTCCCATACTCCAAAAGCCTAAGGTAGGACCTACCTGTGCACGAAGGACATGCTTTCTAGTGACTTCGTCCTCCCAGGGCTGCCCACAGAGGCAGATGCAGAAGCCGACTGGATGGTGGGAGGTGGAAGGAGCTGCTTCTCCCAAAAGGAGCCCTGCCTACATGGAACATTGCTCTTGTGGGGGCCAGGCATAAATATGCTAATGGGTCATGCCTTCGCTTAGCCAACAAGAAGAGCCTCTGTTGACTCTAGTGGGTTTCTGAAGGGCTGAGGGAGGGGGGGACCCATATTTCGAACTCCTACCTGCTGCTAATCCTCCAGCAAAACCAGTCAGGCTGGTTGTCAGTGTATCATCAGAAAGCCCACACACCCCTGAACAACAGATACTTTTTGCTTGAAGAAGGATTTTGAATTGAACAGGAGTCATACATGGGGACAGTAGAGAGGGCATGCAGGGAAGGGGAGCACCAGGCTGGGGTTTGAGCTCAGAGGAAGAGATTCTGGGTAGAAGCCCCTGAAGATTTGTGTTTGATCAGAGATGAGGCATCCCTAGCACAGGTGGGCATGTAAGGGCAGGCAAGCAGAGACGTGGCTATTGCCCAGACTGCCCTTGAAAAACTGGTAGGACGATTAAAGTCACCCCCCCACCACTGGAGATTGGTTTATTTTACAGTTGGTACAGGACAAGGCCAGTGGGTGGGGGGGAAGGGCTGTTTGACATTTAAACTTTTTTTTTTTCAGTCTGTATCTCTGATTCCATTGCTGTAGGGAACTCTGAATGGGGAAATGCCCTTGTATATTAGTCGCAACTTAGAAACTTTCAGAAATACCTGGAGCATTGAAAATTTAAATGACCAGCCCAGGTCACACAGGAAGCATTTGTCAGTGGTAGGACTCAAATTCAAGTCTTCCTGATCGAGGTCAGATGTACCATACTGTTGGTATGGGACCATCAATTTAATGTCACCAGATGGATCCAAGGGACTCCTTCCTGGGAAAAGAGGGAACATCTATGTATTCCCAGACCTCTTCTAAGACAACCAGCTAGCAAGGATGGCCCCTGTGTGATACTGAGAAAATAAAATGGTTCTATTAACCAGTGCTACAGTGATGAGGGTGAGAGACAGTCAAATGAGCAAGACCCCCAACACTAGCATTAGAGCTGGAAGGGACCATCAACCCCTTCATTTGACAGATTAGGAAACTGAGGCCCAGGGAAATGAAATGACTTATGCAATGTCACAAAGGTACCTAGCACCAGAATTCCTCATACTCCAGAGTCAGGGCTTTTCCCTCCTACACCACTGCCGCCTAATCCTTTCTTTTTACAGGTGGGCAACTTGAGGTGTAGAGAGGTTAAGTAACTTTCCCCAGGTTACAGAAATATTGACTAGCAGAGTAGGATCTGAACCAAGGTTTTCTAACTTCCAATTCAATGTGCCTTCCTCTGGAACCTGCTCTTAGATCAATGGAATGTTAGAATGTCACTAGAATGTCAGAGTAGAAACTGAAAAAAATAAAGGCCAATTAACCCAACCCCCTCTTTTTACATTTGAAGAAACTGAGGCCCAGAGAAGTCACATGACTCACTGTCAGTAAAGGGCAGAGCTGGGACTAAAGGCCAGATCATCTGGCTTCTGGCCCAGTGCTCTTTCCACTACCCTCCAGTCCCTGAGAATGCAGGGGTTCTTAATCTGGGGGAACCCTTCCCACAGCTGGCACCCAACATCCTAGGAACTTGCTATGAGTCTTGGCTTTGGGGCAGATTCACAAGGTGTCTCATCAAAGGGACTGGCTGCTTTCTTTTGTCTGTGTAGAAAGACAGCTATTGTTCTGAGACTAGGAGGCTAAAGAATGTGGAAGGATCAGAAGGTTGGAAATCTGCTCTTGAGCACTGCCTCTTTCCCTCAGTCTTGGGGAAGTCTGGAATTGTCTGGAAAACTGCCCTGAACCACACTTTTCAACTCTTCATTCCCTGGGCACATGCAAATAGTAGCCAGCTTGCATTTTACATTTGTTGTTGTTCAAAGTCGTTTTCAGTCCTTCCTGTCTCTCCATGACCCCCATTTGGAGTGTTCTTGGTAGAGATATGGTGTGGCTTGCCATTTCCTTCTCCAGCTCATTTTACAGATGAGGAAACTGAGGCAAACAGGGTTAAGTGATTTGCCCAGGGTCTGAGTGTCTGAGTAAGTGTCTGAGACCAGATTTGAACTCAGGAAGATGAGTCTTCCTGACTCCAGACCTAGCACTCTATCCACTGCGTCACCTAACTGCCCCGAACATTATACATACGTTATCTCGATGATCTTCGGGATGCCTTTTTGAATGGCTGATCGTTCCTATTTTAGATTTGAGGAAATTAAGGTTGGGAGAGTATGTCTAAGATGGCACGATTAGTCAATGAGTGGTGGAGAGGATCTTCCAACTCCTAGCCCAGGACTTGGCATTGCACCTCCGCTGAAAGCTCTTCCCCTCTCCCCACACTAGACCTCACATTTCTGCACCTTGAAGGTTTGCAAAGCACATAGTCCTGCAGCATGGCACCGTTGCTGCTGCTGCTGCTCATGGAGCTCCCTCTGGATCCTGGAAATTCCTAAAGGGCCAGGTCTGGGCTTGTCTATACTACCTCTCCGGCCCTCTATTGCACTGGGATTGGGGCTGAGCTTCAACCCACTGGGCCTGGGCTTCCCTGGACATATTCACAGTGGATTGAATAAATGAAGTTTATTGAGTCACTGTGAGGGAGTGAGAATAAGAATTTCTCAGCAATAAGAAATTACCTTCCAATAACCCTACTGGACATTGAGAAGATTAGAAATTTTTTTCACCCTTAGATTATGGGAAAAGCCAGAGATTTTGGATCTTGGTTCTAGCATTTACTAGCTGGATGGGTGACCTTCCTGTCACTTCTCAACCAATTTTGCTCATCTATAAAGTGGGTAGAATAATATCTGTAGTATCAACCTCATAGGGTTGTGAGGCCCTGATACGATGAAAGCTTTTAAGTGCTTTACAAACTTTAAATCTCTATATATGATGTGGCTCAATGGATAGAGGGAGTTAGGAAGACCTGGGTTCAAATCCTGCCTCTAACATAGAAGAGCTACTTGTTGTGGGTGAATCACTTTCCCTGCCAATGCTCCAAGCAGTTCTTTAAGACTCGGTTACAGAAGAGTTGCTGATCTGAATTGGTGAAGTCAGTTTCCGAAACAAGAGATGAACTCACATGTCCAGCCCTTCCCTTCTCCCGCCCCCAACAATGTTCTTGGTACATAGTAATCACTTTGTTATTATTATTAATATTGTTATTCATTCTGGGATCTATCTATAGGGATTCCATAGATCAGTAATGCCTGATTTTAAATAGAAAGCTACCAAAGCAGGGTCTGGGGTTAGTGATCCCCCTCCATTCTGAACAGCCCAGCAACGTCACCCAGGACCTGGGTAGATCACAAAGAAAAAATCACCCATTGTGGTATACTCTCTCACCAGCCTGTTTCTGCACCAGCATCTTGACTCCAAACTGGAGCAAAACCTCTTGGCCAGGCACAGCTGAAAAAAAAAACCTTCTAAACCCCCAAGTAGTGCCCAGTGACAGGTCTGAGGTTTGAGTTAAAACTGTGGCAGAGTCACAGCTCACCCACAACTCCTCTGGTGTGGTTTTATCTAGACCATTACAGTGCAGGTGATTACCTCCCCAACATGCCCTAGCTGCACAGAAACTGATACTGCCCAGAGCCAGCGGGGTGGCCACTGAACCAGTTCCTTCTTGCCTCCGACCCCTGCCAACCCCAATCTCTTTTTCCAAGAACAGAGAAAGATGAATATGCTACCTCCAGAAAATGACCTGTCCAAGGGAACTCAAGGCGAGTTGAGACAGGCAGCATGCAAAGTCAGCTCTGTCTGTGGTGCGGCCTCTTTCCCCCACTGATGCATGGGAGGTGCTGCCAGCACCCTTAAGTAGTTTCACCCAAGCAAGTAGTTATGACTGCAAATGGGGAAAGTTCAGGTATGAGGAAACCACAGGCTATCGGGGAGAGCTCCCTGCAGCCAGTGAATACCTGGGGAGGGAGCAGCAGCGGTGGTGGTGCCATAGGGAGAGCATAGGGAGAGCAGAAACCCCAGGGAAGAGAAGCTAAATGCCCAGAGCAGTCATCTGAAAGCCCTGGCCATGAGGCTGTGTGGATGTGAGGGTCTGTGTCTATGTAGGGGGAAGGGGAAGGAGATCCAAATTATGAGGGCACTAAAGCACCCCAAAGCCCACCGTTTGGAGTGGATGCTCAGGACAAACCAATAATGTTAGCTCCCCAACTAGACTGGAAGCCAAACCAATAATGTTAGCTCCCCAACTAGACTGGAAGCTCCTTGAGGGTGAGGACCTTGCCTGACTTGTTGCACAGTAAATACTTAATTGATTCTTTTTTTTTTTTCCACAACTGCTGGGAAGGCAGGGACTTGAACCCAGGCCTATTTACTCGAAATCTGGAGTTATTTCAAATAAATTGAGTGTAGGGGCTAGAGATAGTTGATAAAGGAGGGAGTTCTCCCAGAGAATGTGTGAATTGCCTTTTTAAATGGGGCTTGGGCCTTCCCAAAGTGCCAGGTTATGTGAAAAGGAGACAGTTATTCATTCAGACACTTGTTTATCCCACCCCCAAATTCACAGCATAATTCTGCTATTTTTTTTTTTAAGCAGAGGGGGAAGATGGTCTGAGTTTTCCAGATTGCTCACCCATCCTTTCCAAATTCGCAAGGTGATTGTTCAGCCTCCCCACCAATATCCCTATCTCTCAGCAACTCCACCTACAGATGTTGGCCTGGGTGGACTGTCAGACTGCCTCAGGTAGAGTTATTGGACCTAGCAGGTCCATATTTTATAGAATAGAATGGAATGATGTTGCTTGCTGAGTCCTGGGAAAAGTACAAGCAGAAAAATGAGAAATGTACTCTCAGCTTTTCTCTCAAGCCATTGTCCTTTATTTCTTTCCCCCTTCATAGCGGAACTCTTGGAGTCTACACACTCTTGAACACAGGATTCCATTTTGTCACCTCCCATTCATTTCTCCTTGTGATTTGGCCTCTGATACCACCACTCTCTTGACACTGTCTTCTCCAAGTTTACCAACAATCCCTTAATCACTCTCTCAGTCCTCATACTCCTTAATCTCTCTGTGGCTTTTGAACACTTTGAATCCCTCCTCTTGGATATTTTCTCCTCTCTTAGATTCCATAAC